TGTAAAAGAAGTGTCCTCGCTGACATCCACGGCAAACCTTTCCCTGAGGCTGAAAGGAGGAGGATCACGCTGCTAGCGGAGAGCTGAGGCCTACCTGAGCTTCAGCAGGCCCGAAGGTGGTGACTGAGCAACGTCCTGACTGTCAGTGTTCTGTTACTTCTGTACCACTGCACAGCATTTTTAAGATCTAAAGATCTGTGAAACTCCTTGAAAGCTTTGGATCAAAATGTTAAAGACCAGCAGGTTTAAAGCAAGGCGAGATGGTGGCGTGCATTGCTCTTCGACCTTGCCGCGGATTGAAGGTACGCCACTCATACACAGAGGAGCGTGTTGCACCCACTTGCTGTTCTGCAGAGTCTCAGCAGCAAGGAGCCATTACAACCTGAGAAACCACAACCAGCTGAGCTGTCAGATCTGGAATAACTAGATTAGAGATCTATCCGCTGGATTAAAGATTCATCACCCTACCATCGACTCGCTTCACAACTACTGGCAAGTCATGCCACATTCATAGTTGTCTCCTTAAGATACTGTTTCTGCAAAAGGGAAGCCCTAGTGCCATCTATCTGAAAATAGAAGTAGTAGGCATTAGTGTTAGCAGTTTAATATAAGCATGTGTTTATCTAAAACCCCCTACAGAAGAAGAACGAATTAAGGTATACTTGGCTAATCTAACTAGCCAGGAATGCATTAATTAAGGTTTACTTGACTAATCTACATTTGTCTGTGTTTTTAGGTAAGAAACTTGAGTAATTCACATTTTACTAAAGTCAGCCCAAAGACTAGTTTTTTTGACAGCTAACTTAAACATTGACTTCAGAAGGAAACAGAAGTCCGAGTCTTTCTTTCTTCTTCCAGGCAAACATTTTCTTCACTGAGTGATGATCTTTGCTTGCAGTTGTCCAATGATAAAATGTTACCGAGTAAACTCTTAAACTGTTTTCTGTAAATGTATCTATAATTTATCAGAGGAACTAAAGCAGACATAAGCCATACAGGAGCAGTTTTTGAGGTTTTTCCAGTTCAGCCTTGGTAATTAAACTTCTCTATTTCTTCTGTCTGAGATTAATACAACTAAATTTATGACAGTATTTTCATGTAATCCCTCTATTTTCAGAAGGCTTTGGGGTTGGCCATAAACATTGATTCTGCATTAGATGTTTTCTCTGGGGACAAAACCAGGGAACTGTTTTGACCACTTATACAAGCTGAAGCACAGAAAAGTCAGAGATTTGAAGTGTTCTTCTCCACATATGATTGTCTTCAGGTGCAACTGTTGTGCTTTCATACATGTTGCATGGCCCCACAGACAAATCCCATGTCAGAAGCAAGCCATGGGGCACTAGCAGAGAAAACAGATATAGGCCCTCAGGTTCAGTTTTGTATATTAGCACATACAAGCCACTGAATTACTGCTTGGGTAGCTTCATATTTCCCTCTCCTCTGACATGAAGGTAGCAACTGAGTGAGGGCAATGACTTGTCTATCCTACTGTTCTATCCATGACACATCACGGGGATGTACTCAGTTCTTATCTTCATGAAAATCCAAGCTGATAACTTAAGGACCTTTTGACATTTCAGTGCAGGGCTAATAATTAGCATGGCTAGTCTGGTTACCATCATACACGCTTCACAGACTGGAGAATGTTTATAACTTACAGTATATGAAAACCTTACTTTTTCCACACTGATGATAGGGCAACCCAACTCTTTTTTTCCAACAAACTTCAAACAGCCATCGCGCCTGCTGACTAAAACTTAACTCTGGAAGTTAAGACTGCTTTATTTTTGTTTGCTTTATTAGGTTGGCCACATACTAAAGCAAAAATAAGTCATCAAAAGTTCTTTGCTCATCACTTTTCAATTACAGACTATTTTGTGTAGTGGAAGAATTGATGACTGGACTATGTTATAGGGATATTGAAATGCTACAGGACCTCACTTCAGTATGTGCAATTAAAACAAACATAGAGAGAACCACTAGCACAAATCATACTAACTTATAGCTTGAGCAGGTTCTTTCACAAGTCTTTTAGAGATACTTTTAAACAGCTGTAAATAGGCAAGAACTTTTTAGTATTGGACTGTTGTGGGGTTTTTTTTGTCTGGTTCATTTTGCTTTTTTTTTTAATGTTAACCCACTGGATTTCAGGTGGAATAGTCACAATAATGATGCCTCATCTGAAGGAAATTATCTTGCTAAGGTGGATTAGTCACCTCTGCCAACTTCAACGTTGAATCCCTTAACTAGCAGGAACAAAGAAGGACATCTGTGACGAGGGATACTGTGCACAGTATCCAACAGTTTGGGAGCATCATATGGCTTCTTCTATCCAGTTTTAGCTATTGCACTTAAACAGCAGATGACTTCAAAGAGGGCAATAAATTGCATTTTCTTCGTGCTCATTTGGCTGGTTTAAATATTTCTTTCTCTCCTCTATTTTAATTGGTGAGATATTGTGTAGGGGTACCAGTGTAATTCCTTTTTTTTTTTTTTTTTTTTGGGGGGGGGGGGGGGGGGGCAGGGGGACAGTGTGTTTGTTTTTTCAAAGTATAGTTTTTAAATTAAAAAAAGCCCAGACAGCCCCAAGGGCATCAAACAAATGTACTGTACTGGGCCAGATGCAGCCTATCAACCCCTTCAGCCAGCACAGGTCATTCTAGCTTCAGGGAACTGGTGGATCTGTACCCCTTTATCACTACCTTAAGGATCCAGCAGCCACAAACAGAACTTAAGACAGAAACTGCATTTTCCAGGCATGCCTCTGTATTTCCAGTCCCATGCCTAGAAGCTTTGCTCCTTAACTCCTGTATGTCTTAATAAGAAGGTGCCATTCCTGCATAAACAGGTTGCCACTGCTGATTAATATAAGCTGTTCTGGAACATAGGTAACCCTATCACCTTTGGGCAGAATTAAGTGTTGTCATAACTGAGATGCTATCTTGCTATCCATGCTTTCTGCTCCCCATTAAAAAATACCTTTACAGCTAAAGCAGTAGCCACACCGGTGGGAAATTTGGAAAGTAAGACTTGCCACCTGTTTGTTCAAATGTTTCATTGCGTATTTGTAACAGTACCATTGTCTTTATTTTCAACCTTATACCATTGCTAAAAAAGAAGCTGAAGAGACAAATTCCATTTCAGTGTTTCCTTATCCACCTCTTGGCACATACATCCCAAAAGCTGTCTCTGAAAGGCAGGGACCAGCCAAGAGAATCAAGAGCATTTGCCAGATCATTCCCTTAACTAGGAATTTCTCAGAGGTGAGTTAGATGCTGGAACTCTTGAGTCACTCACATATGTTACCCAACTGGAAATCAGAGTAACTAAGCTGTAGAAGACAATAGCTGCCTCTTTCACAAAGGACCACACCACAACCTGACAGATTACGTGCCCTTTAACTGGAAACACTTAGCAAACAAGTAACAAAGGAAGCCTTACTTCCTAACACCAACAGATACAGTTTAAAGATCTACTGAGCAGAGAGGTTACCTTTGGAAAGTACACCACCAGATTTTCAGTTTGGTTCACATTCAACTAAGTCAACAAGTTTCATAGGAAGAAAAAACAAACAGACAAACAAACTTACATTATCAGCTCAAACTTCCCACAAAGCCAGCTTCTAAGTTTTACTACCAGGTCCCCCCTCCTCCCAGTGCAGCAAGATAAGAAAATCCTGAATTCATTGCAGCTGGCCTGATGAGCCTTGTAATTAGGACATGCAGTGTGGTCTTTCAGCTTCTTGAGAGCACTAACCCTTTCAGTGCCAAATCCTTTCTATCCTGTTATAGCTCAAAATGAGAATCCATTTGAGAAGTAGTATTTGTTGTCTGCTTTTTAAAGAAATAGGTTGGCTTTACTAGTAGCACACTGTGTACACAAAGCAGTCATTGCTTTTGGTGGAATTAGTCAGAGGAGCAGCCTCCCTGCCACCTCCCAGGTGCATACCAATACACTTGAGACCAGAATGAGCCAGGATGCATTTCCCTCTTCCTCTCTGTTTTCCTTTCTACTGTCATCTGTCTGAGACCATCATTCTCCCTGTCATTCTGGTCATCCCCTGGACATCCTCTTTGAGTGTGAAGCTAATTCAAAGTTTCTGTTCAAAACCCTTCTTAAAAATCCTCTTTGCAGCAGTGCAAACACTTAGTAAGAGTTGAATTGCTAATTTGCTCAATTAAGTGCCCCAGACAAAAAAACCCCACCAAACTGTTTTATGTATCTCAGCCATATTCATTCACCCCTTGTCTTCTACAAAGACAAAACGTGCTAAATCACCATTTGCTTTCATCACACTCATTACATGTTCCTGGCCTTTCACTATTTGATTCCAGGGGCTGGGATGAACTTTCCCACCACCACCCTTATTATATAACTTGGCTTTTTTGGAATGGCTTT